TACCGTCTCCTTTTGTTTCGGTTTGGTTCTTCCCCATTCCCTTCTGCCCCTGTTCTCTTCAACCTCATCTGCTTTACCTCTCTTTCATCCGCGTCTTCTTCTTTTCCCCAATTCGCACCCCCTCATCTCTTTCTCCATACCCTCTCATTTCCCTTCCTTTCTACCACCCTGTCCTTTCCCTCCATTCCCTTCCCTCCTTCTTCCCTTCCCTTTCCCCTCCCCTCCCTTTCCCTTCCCTTCCCTTCCCTTCCCTTCCCCTCCCTCCCTTCCTTTCCCTTCCCTCCCTTCCCTTTCTTCCCTTCCCTTCCCTTTCCCTCTCCATCCCTTCCCTCCCTTCCTCTCTTCCCTTCCTTTCCCTTTCCCTCCCTTACTCTCACTTCCCTTCCCTGCCCTGCCCTGCCCTGCCAAACCTCCCCACCCCCTCCCCTCCCCCTCCCTCCCCCTCCCTTCCCCCTTCAGAAACAAGACATCCTCGCATCTCCTTCGTTATAGCTCGGTCAGCGGTAAGTTTGGCTCCGTCGCGGTCTCCTTCCAGATCGGCGGAGTGTGAAGTCGGTCGGTCGGTCTTTCGAGAGGGGGGGGGGGGAATTAAACGGCGTGGCGATACCCGGCAACCCCGCGGTGGGCATCAGGTGGCATATCGGCAGGAATCCTTTGTTCACACTCGTAGGGAAGGAAGGCTGGCAGAAAGGAGGCGGGAGGGGCGGTGGTGCGTGGGCATGGGGCTCGTAGATTATTTTTATATATATATATATATATATATATATATATATATATATATATATATATATATATATATTATATGGGAAGGAGAAAAAGGTGTAGTTTCCTGTATTTTTTCCATTTTTCCTGACTCGGCTTTTGTATATACTGTAGAGAGACGGACAGAACAGTAGACACGGGCACATGGAAACGGACGGAAATCGAGGCGAGCAAAGGAGAGGGAGAGTCGAGAGATCGGCAAGGGGCGCGGGCTCCCTCCCTCCTGTCTCTCCCTCCCTTCTGCCATCGCTCCCCTCTTCCTTCCATCCTACCTCTATTCCCTTCCATCTTCCTTTTTCTCTCTCCTTCCTTCCCTTCCCCTTTTCTTTTCTCTCCTTCCTTCCCTCCCTCCTTTCCATCCTACCTCTCTTCCCTCCCTCCCACCTCTCTTCCCTCCCTCCCTCCCTCCCCGGGCGTGTGATGAGGATGGCTCCGGCCGCCCTGGCATCTGTCTCCCGCCGGCGGCCACACTTTCCCAAGCCACGCGACCCCGGCCCAGGGATCCGCGCCGCATAAGGCCCTTTTGCCCCTGCTGACCCGCAGTGCTCTCGACCTTATGGCCGCTGCTCTGAGCGCGGCTTCTTTCGGCGAAGATCTTTTTCTCCCTCTTTTTCTCTTTTCGTCTCCTTTTCTCTTCCATTTTTCTCTGTTCTTTTAAATCGTTTGTTATCTTACGCGTTGTTGAATGCGTTTATGGAAGAGGGGTTGCGATGGCCATTTCCCTTTGCTGGCGTGATGCACATATTGTCTCATCTTACGTACACGAAGCTAAAGGTATATATGAAAAACCGAACCACAGAAATACAGTTACGCCAAGCTGTCTATTTTGAAGACATACAATAAATTAACTGATTTTTTAAAATTAAATAAATTAACATTCTTTGAAAAAAAAACACCTCCGCCGAGTCTGCTGACCGTCGACACAAAGGAAACCATCACAGACATTCGAAGGACACCATTCTGCGCTTTGCAAAGGGTTTACCTTCAGCACCAAGCGAGTCGGCGCAAACATTTGGCGTGAAGATGTGCGGGGGAGACTGGCGACCCGCGGAGGAAACTCACTTGGAAAGGGGGGGGGGTTGTGGGTTTTCTCTTTCTGATATTTGGATTTAGTTTTTTGTTGTTATGTTGTTTTAGTTGTTGTTGATATTATTATTATTAATGTTATTATTATTATTATTGTTATTATTATTATTATTGTTATTATTGTTATTGTGATTATTATTATTATATTATTTTATTATTATTATTATATTATTAGTGTTTTTATTGTTATGAATATTGATAATTATTGTTAATAATTAGTCATTACTGCTAATGTTGTCTGAATAGAGTATGTATAGCCTTATTTGCCTTTTGTTGTTGATTACTGACGTTTCCCCGTCTCCCAGGGTACACGGGGCAGCACTGCGAGGTCGACGTGGACGAGTGCGCGTCGCGGCCGTGCAAGAACAACGGCATTTGCAGCGATCTGATCAACGAGTACCGCTGCAGCTGCATCCAGGGCTTCACGGGCCGCCAGTGCCACATCAACATCGACGACTGCGCCTCGCAGCCGTGCCAGCACGGAGGCACTTGCGTGGACCGCGTGGCCGGCTACAGCTGCCGCTGCAGCCCGGGCTTCACGGGAACCAACTGCGAGACCAACATCGATGACTGCCTCTCGTCGCCGTGCCGCCACGGCTCGTGCCTGGACGGCAACAACTCGTTCACGTGCATGTGCCACGCCGGCTATACGGGCCTGCTGTGCCAGACGGAGATCGACGAGTGCGCGTCCACGCCGTGCCAGCACGGGGGCTCCTGCAAAAACCTCATCAACAGCTACAAGTGCATCTGCCCCGAGGGCACGGCGGGCATCAACTGCGAGTTCAACATCAACGAGTGCTTCAGCAACCCGTGCCGCAACGGCGCCAAGTGCGAGGACGGAATCAACGAGTACTGGTGCGAGTGCGAGCCCGGCTTCACGGGCCGCTTCTGCGAAACCAACATCGACGACTGCCTGTCGCAGCCGTGCGCCAACGGCGGCGTGTGCATCGACGAGGTAAATGGCTTCCGGTGCCAGTGCCCGTCGGGCTACTTCGACGCCCGCTGCCTCTCCAACGTGAACGAGTGCGCCAGCGACCCCTGCCTCAACGGCGGCTCCTGTTACGATGACGTCAACCGCTTCAACTGCAAGTGCCCGCCGGGCTACACGGGCCACCGCTGCGAACAGGAGATCGACGAGTGCCAGTCCAACCCGTGCCAGCACGGCGGCACCTGCAGGGACGCGCTCAACGCTTACACCTGCTCGTGTCCCCCCGGCTACTCGGGCCGCAACTGCGAGATCAACATCGACGACTGCCTGAGCCGCCCCTGCAAGAACGGCGGCACCTGCATCGACCTGGTCAACTCCTACAAGTGCGTGTGCGAGCTGCCGCACACCGGGAGGAACTGCGAGGTGCGCATGGACCCCTGCAGCCCCAACAAGTGTCGCCACGGCGCCCGCTGCACACCCACCGCCAACTTCTTGGACTTCACGTGCGAGTGCGAGCTGGGCTACACCGGCCGCCTCTGCGACGAGGACATCAACGAGTGCGCTATGTCCCCATCCCCGTGCAAGAACGGCGCCAGCTGCCTCAACACCAACGGCTCGTACTCGTGTCTTTGCGCCAACGGCTACGAGGGGCGCGAGTGCACCATCAACACCAACGACTGCGCCCTGCACCCGTGTCGCAACGGCGGCACCTGCCTCGACGGCATCGGCAGGTACAAGTGCCTGTGCGTCGACGGCTTCGGCGGCACCAACTGCCAGCACGACCTCAATGAGTGCAACTCCAACCCGTGCCAAAACGGGGCCACCTGCAACGACTACGTCAACTCGTACACCTGCACGTGCCCGCTCGGCTTCTCGGGCACCAATTGCGAGATCAACGACGAAGACTGCACGGAAACCTCTTGCATGAACAACGGCAGTTGCATCGATGGAATCAACAACTACACGTGCGAGTGCATGGCGGGCTTCACGGGCTCCCACTGCCAGCACCGGATCAACGAGTGCCACTCGAACCCGTGCGAGAACGGCGGCACGTGCAACGACCACGTGGGCTTCTTCACATGCCACTGCCTGTACGGCTATACCGGCCAGCGCTGCGAGCGGGTGATGGACTGGTGCTCGAGCTCCCCTTGCTTCAACAACGGCGTCTGCACGCAGAAGCTCAATCGCTTCGAGTGCAAATGTACTCCAGGATGGACGGGTCCCCTCTGCGACGTGGCCATGGTGTCCTGTGAAACGGCTGCGGCCAGCAAAGGCGTCGCTGTTTCGCAGCTGTGTCTGCACGGCGGCATCTGTCATGATAGAGGCAACACGCACAAGTGCGACTGCCGCACCGGCTACACGGGCTCCTACTGCCAGCACGAGATCAAGGAGTGCGACTCTCAGCCCTGTATGAACGGAGCCACCTGCAACGACCACATCGGCTCGTACTCATGCGCGTGCCGCCCGGGATTCCAGGGGCCCAACTGTGAGTACAACATCGACGACTGCAAGCCCAACAACCCGTGCCAGAACGGAGGCGTCTGCCACGACCAGATCAACGGCTTCCAGTGCTCCTGCCCGCACGGCACTCTGGGCAAGCTCTGCGAAATCAACACCAGCGACTGCTACGAGGGCGCCTGCCACAACGGAGGCACCTGCGTGGACAAGGTTGGCGGCTTCGAGTGTAGGTGCAAGCCGGGGTATGTCGGCGCGCGGTGCGAGGGCGACGTGAACGAGTGCTTGTCCTTCCCATGTTACAAGGAAGGGACAGCCGACTGCGTGCAGTTGGTCAACGATTACTTGTGCAACTGCCGGCCAGGGTTCATGGGGCGGCACTGCGAGAGCAAGCGGGACTTCTGCGCCGAGTCTCCATGTCAAAATGGCGGTGTTTGTAGCAACACCGAGGAAGGCTACTCGTGCCACTGCATGGACGGCTTCATCGGCAAGTCGTGCGAGTTTCCCGAGACGATTGCGACCACCACCAGTGCGGGCCCGGCGAGGTATGTCGTCCGTATGAGAAGGGGATCGAATGCGTGCCCAAGGAGTACCCTTGCTCCTCCAACCCCTGCACGCACGGAGGCAATTGTCTGGACCGGGTGACCTACTTCGAGTGCCACTGCCCGCCGCGCTGGAACGGGAAAAGGTGCGAGGTGAGCGACCCCACGTTCAATGGCGGGATCGGGAATCCCACGACGTCCCACCAACCTCACTCTGGAGCGCGAGTTTGGTGCCGCCTGCACAGTGTGATGAGAAGAAGAACAACCTAGGCGCTGCGTGCGATGCCGAGTGCAGCTCCTTTGCCTGCGATTACGACGGCTACGAGTGCTCATATGGACGCAACCCGTGGGCGTTCTGCGACGCAGACATTAATTGCTGGGAGGTATACGCGACGGAGTGGTGCAACTAATCAGAATGCAACAACGCAGCCTGTCTCTTTGATATGGCTTGGGACCTGAGCCGCAAACCGTCGGAACGTGCATATCCAATATACGAGACGCCTACTCGCGCGCCACCAACTACGAGAACGGCCACTGCGACCAGGGCTGCAACGTCGCCGAGTGTGGCTGGGACGGCCTCGACTGCGAGAAAGAGCCCCCCAACATCATGAACGGCCAGCTCCAGCTGGTGGTGGAGGCCAGCAGTGCGGACTTCCAGACTGCCAAGAAGGCCTTCATCAGGGATCTCAGCCGGTCCTTGGGCGTGCATCTGGTGATCATGAGAGACCAGTCCAACCAGGAATGATCTACCCGTACGACCAGGAGGTATCCAGGGGCTGCTCGTTTACTTCGAGATTCGACAACCGCCGGTGCGCAAAGGGGACAGTGCTTTTTTCGACAGCGTCAAGACGTGCGATT